AGACTGTGGAACAAACTACCCCCTGACATCCGCACCACTACTGACCTCAGCCTTTTTAAAAAAAAAGCTTAAGACCCACTTTTTTAGATTAGCATTTAATTCCGACTAGGGTCTCTTAGGTTTCCTCTTTCTATCTGCTCCTTTCTACGTACTTCTGGAAGGCTTTTAATGCGCTGCACCACTACAGCATTTTTTTGTTTTTTCTATATGTTTTGTATGTCTTTTTGTATTGTTTTATGGCTTTGTTGTAAAGCACTTTGAGTACCATTTGGGTATTGTAAAGGGCTATACAAATAAAATTGATTGATTGATTGATTGATATGATGTGATTTTCTGGAATTTTCTTTGGGATTCTGTCTTTCACTGTTAGAATGTACATATGATTAAAGTTATAGATCGTTGCATTCTTTGTAAGTGGGCAAACCTGCAAAATCAGCAAGGGGTCATATACTTATTTACCCCACTGTATATATATATGTGTGTGTGTGTGTTTGTATTTTTTAACCTGGAGAAAAGAGTTGGACGCTATCCAACTGGGGGAGTTGTATAAATGAAGGACCATAGATTATCTTTTAAGTCACGATCAAATGATTAAACAGCTTTTCCCCCAGTAAAGTGAACTTTTGGTTTCCTGAGGGGCACGTGGTGTGGTAAACTCCCCTAGGTCTAGTGAGGCAGCTGCAGAAGTAAACACATTCACACACACACACACACACACACACACACACACACATATAGCAAACTGCTGTTACACACAAGGAGTCTGGAGTCAGAGACTTTAACACAAAAGTACATTTCTAAAAGCAATGTTAGAATTTGGCTATATTTACTCATTATAGCATAGTATGCTATCACATGATCTATGCTAATTACTGATTGTTTTATTCTTTTTATAACTATATTTTGTGTTAAAGTCTCTGGCTGTGTCCACAGACTCTCTTTTCTCTCTTTTTCTCTCTCTGTTGCATTAGATCCACCTTTAGGTCAACACTCACACACACACACCATTTGTTACCACATTCCTGTCATCTGCATGAATTAGGACCTGGCCTGTTCGTGCCCAGAGGTAACTGGCCAATAGGACTTGGTTGTGTCCAGTCCTCCTTTGAGGAGGCGGATGGAGCCCAGGAGATAATGCCCATCACCCAGATCTCAGGGCTCTTTGCCCACTGAGACCCAGAGAGAGGTTTTAGTCTGTCAGAGTCCAGCTGATACACTTAACTGTGTCCAATAAATGTCATTTATTCACTCTTGATCTACTCTGGTTTATTCTCAGGTTTCCAACTAAAGAATCGGGCTGACAGCAATAAGACAACCGGTAATGGACATAGATCCTGTTATAGCATCCAATGATCCAATGATAAGTAATTATAGCCCAATTCTACCGGGGGGAATAGCA